CTAATGGCTAATGATGTTGACCATCTTTTCATATGTTCATTGGCCATTTGTATATCTTTAGGGAAATGCCCATTTGTGGAATTAGTAGCATGCTAGCTTCACAACACAGGTTCTCAGTTTGACCTCTTCCATTTTCTCGACCAAGTTGTATAAGAAGGAATTATCTCTTGATAATTTGGTAAATTTGGTAAAAATACAGTAAAAAACCGTCTGAGTGTGGGATGGGAAAGGCCTTTTTGTTTCTAATTCAATTCATTAATGCATATTGGGTGACTCAAATTTTCTATTTTTTTTCTTTTTACCAATTTTTGCATTTTGTATTTTCCCAGAAATTTGCATACTACACATCCTGTTTTATAGCACCTTTTAGCTTCATACTATTTTTCTGTCTTGTCAAGATGTTTGGGTTTATACAGTCCTTTGAAACAGCCATGTAGTGCTTGGATGCACCATGTTTTTGCCAGTCCCCCTCAGTAGATGGTTCGTTTTCAGTTTTTCTGTTACGAGCAGCGTGACTGTTGTTTGGGTTCTATGTCTGTGCTGAACAAACCACCCACAACTCAGTGGCTAAAACAACAATCATTTTATTGCTCAGGAATTTGGGCCGGGCTCAGCCGGGCAGTGTTTCTACTCTTTGGAGTGTCTGCTGTGGTCATTGAGTGAAGCTGGGAGCTTGGCTGGGGCTGGAACGCCCAAGCTGGGGGCTAGCTTGATCTTTATCTCTCTCTCTCTGTCTCTATCTCTCTCCCCCTTCTCAGACCCTCCTCCTTCACAGCCGCAGCCCTCCTCCCCTTCCATGTGATCTCCCTTCAGCAGAGTGGTCAGGTTTCCCCATCCAGGGGCCAGCAAAAACAGAACTGCTAAGCCTCTTGTGTCCTAGCTCTGGACATGGCCGGGCGCCCCTTCCACTGGGTCCTACTGGTCACAGCAAGTCAGATGGGTCAGCCAGCCCAGACTTCAGCAGTGGGGAGCGGACCTGACTGATCTATGGAGCGCTGCATGTGGGCAGAGATAGGAGGACTTGTTGGTGGCCGTGTTTGCAGGAAAGCCTACAACACTTGTCTGATGAATTTTGGAGTCAAAGGTGAACATTGTTTGAATGGACATATGGTCTATTGTTCTGTGGATCTTGGGAGGTCGCACATGACTGGGGACAAGGTAGATAAAGTCCGCATCCTGGAATTTCCCGCAGTCCAGCGGAGAATGTACACCAACACGTCCATGACTCGTAACTACAGCGATGCTCCAGGAGCCTTGAGAGTTTGTCACTAGGCTCGGCTCCGTGTGGCTGTCCCCAGTTGCTGAAGAAGATGGCATCATCTCCGTTTTAGAGGAGGAAACTGAGGCTCCAGAATCAGCCGGCTGGCCTTGCCTACCTTCTCCATTTTCTGCCACCTGGACTTCATCCTCCTTGAGTATTTTCCCTGCTCCGCACTATGTCAGGCAAATAACACACATCGTGCAGAATTCAACAGCTTCCTGTGTCTCTTGTCCCTTGGCAAGAGGGTGAGTTAAGGAGGTGACGGGGCTTTAAATGCTCGAGTCCTCAGGTCACACTTCCTGCCCAGCCGTATCCTGGTTCTGTCTCTTGGAAGGTTTATCGATGTGGACAGTCGGACTTACCTCTCTGAACCTCACTCTCCTCATCTATAACATAGGAACAATGACCTGACCAGGGAACTGGTACATGGAAAGCACCTAGATTTTCAGCGGTGGGAAAGGGCAAAGAATGCATTTAGGGTCCCTGGGGCCCTCCCTCTGAGCCCTTCCTGTCTCTGCTCTCACCTGGGCTGGGTCAGGGAGGCCGGCATGTTCAAGGTCGATGCAGATATCACAGAGGGCTGGTTAGTTCCTCCTGGCTGTAAGAACTGTTGGGTTCCAGTAAGATGCTCAAGGTGGCAGTGAGAAATTCCCACTTTTCCGGCCGTCAGTCTGGACTTGGCTGCTGAGTAAGTTCTCTGTTGTCCCGTTCACGCGGCCAACTTCAGGCTGGGCTTTTGGTCTAAAAGCGAAGCCCGTGTGAGCATGTGACTCTCACCACCTCAACGGGCTCTCCTGTCCTGATGCCTTCAACGAAGGCTCAGCTCTTCCCAGCACGCCTGGAACAAACTGCACACCAGGGCTCGGGGGAGCGGGGCCCGTGTGTGCCTGCTGACTCACGGTGAGTCAACGCCAGCCTGCAACATCTGGGCCCCGGTGTGCCGGGCTGTAACGAGAGAACGCTGAGTATCGTTTGGCAAGGCGTTCACTGTTCAAAGGCCTGATTCTGTTCCCTAAGTTACTCTTCATTGTTTTGCTGTCCGTCAGGGCGTATCCGGGTATCTGGTCACATTTTCCTGCAGATCACCCTTTTCCAGCAAAGCCACCCCCCAGGTTTGTGACTTCTGTGCTCTGGGGTGTGGGTGTCTCCTCCCACGGCCCTGGAGCCTGGGTGAGTGAGGGAATTGTTGTGATTCCGAGTGGTGTGTCTTCTCTCATCTGTTAATTGTTGAGAACAGCCCACTGGTTCACGGACCGTCTTGGTAACTCTCCATAGCCAGGAAAGTCATCAAGGCAAATTGGAGGTGAAGACAGTGGGAATTCTTGTCTGTAAGTTTAAAATCTGTGTGGGCAGCCCCCAGGTCAGTTCTGAACTACCTCTGAAGGGGCACTAGGAAGAAGCAGCGGCAAACGGGTCATGAAGGATTGTCTGGTTGTTTTAATTCAGTTTGAACCGGAAAGTCAAGCTTAGCATCTCTAAAAAGGCTTCCCTGCTTCTCAGCCCCTCTATGTGAGAGACGTGGTGAGTTTCCTACAGTCACAAGGGACCTCAGCTTGGCTGGCTGGGAGACAACGTACTGCCTTGTATCGTGGCTACATTTTGTTGTCCATCAGATCAGAAGTCGTATCTCGTTCACCTGCATGGCGTCGTGTAATTCAGCATTGTCTGAACTGGGTTCCGGCAATTACTGAATATTGCTTAGAAAGTGGGGTTTGGAGGGGCGTGGTGGGGTATAACCCCTGTTTCCATCTCATGGCCCTGGTGGTGGTGTCCACGGTCATGGAATACCCTGTCCTCCCATGGCCAAGGGCAGGGCATGGACTTGACCAGGCCACCTAGATCCTCTGCCCTAAGATGTTCGGATGGAGAGACTCAAAGAGGGAAATACAGCTCAAGTTCATCCCTTTGACAGCAGCCCTGCACCCTCACGCCTGCTGTGGCTCCTGTCTGTTTCTGAGCCTGGTTCTCCACCCCTGTGTGGACTTCTTGGAGTGACTGTTAATCTCCCAGTGCTTTTCCACTAGATTCTGAGTTAAAGGAGGTTTGAGATGCTGGCCCAGTGTTACCAATTTGTTGTCTTCATGCCTCCTCTGAGTCTTGTACATATTAATGTGCTTGGTAGATGTCGAATGTGGGATGGCATACAATGGAATTACAATTGGACAAACCTCACAAACTTGGAGGTCTCCAGGCCACACACGCGAGGGTAATGGGGGTAGTTGGCGCCAGCTTTAGGAGGGAGAGTTGGGGATGGGGTCACTGGGGAGGCGTGTGCCTCATCTAAAGTAGCGTCTGCTGTTCAGCTTCAGCCGAGGGCTTAGTGGGTTATATTCCAATGAGTTTGCTCTGCCAGAGGCTCTGAAATGATGACAACTACACCTGAGTAAAGGTAGTGTCTGGAAGTCCTGTCTTCATGTATGGTTGCAAGCCTGGCAGGTGGCCTGGTTGGGTTCCAGCCCTGCCTCAGCTGAGTTCTAACAGTGAGACTCCGGGTGAACAACTCTGCCTCGCTGAGCCTCACTTCTGTGGTCTGCACAATGGTGCAGTTGACATGTCCCACCTCACAGAGTTATTGTAAGGACTCAGTGACATGACCTGGTCAGGCATTTCAACCCAGGGCCTGGCACACGGCAAGTGCTCAATGAATAGTCGCTATGTCTGATGATGTTTGAGCAGAGAAGATCCACTTAATTCCCAGGAAAATTAGATCCAGGTCTGAGAGATGCTGTCAGTGCCCTGGGGCAGGGGCTTGTTGGGTGCTGTTCACCATTGTGCCTACTGCCTGGTGCAACGTAGGGGCTCAAATATCCTAACTGACTGTCAAAGGACTCAAAATATGTAAACTTTGAATCCTTATAAATAAAAGTGCAAAAGAGGTATTATCTTATATACTGTCTAGGAAAGTAAAAATCCATCCACCCATCCATCCACTCATCCATCCATCCATCTTCCATCCACCGATCTATCCACCCATCCATCCTTCAGTCCATCCATCCATCCATCCATCTATCCATCCTCCATCCACTACAAGATCAATTGTAGTTTTACTCATTTTGCTACTGCAAAATCTGAGGAAGAGGGAATTAAACGACTACCTCTATTAATAACGTAAGCGTAGGGGTCCACCTCCTCACACTTGGTGGGCTCGTGAAGAAGTCGCGTCATAGCGTGGACACGAAAAGCACCTGCACTGGTGCTCGGCAGATGGGCTCGAACTCCCAATCTGGCAGCCTGGCTCAGTGACCTTGGGAAAGTCATGGTTTTCCTGTGTATTTGTTGGAGATGATAATGTCCCCACGACTTAAAGTTGTGAGAATCGAATGAGACAATATGTGTAGAATGCTTGGGATAGTGCCTGGTAAGTGGTGAATAAGCCAACAAACGTGCACTTCTGTTCCCTGAGACTTCCAGCATCGCAGAGGTTGTGTAATTCCTGGGCTCTGTCCCACTGGCACCCCCTGACAGCTTTGAAGGGCACATTTGTGCCAGCAGCTCCCTGCGTCCTGTGTGCCTCTCTTCACACCTCTCTGCCCGCCCTCTCCCCACCACAGCCACTACTCAGGCTCCCCACAGCGGAATCTTGGTCTGGTGAGCCCACTTTTCGGGACCTCCCTTCCCCTTCCCCCACCTCGCAAGGTCCTCCTGGCCGGCAGTGGCTGGCTGGCTGGCTGGCTGGCTGATGGGGTCACTGAGCCAAGAGCTGCTGGCCCAGAACCTGCGTCTCTCTCCTCTCTTGCAGGGAGTCGGACCTGTTCCTGCTGGACAGCCGCACCCTCTGGGCCTCAGAGGAGGGCTGGCTGGTGTTCGACATCACGGCCACCAGCAACCACTGGGTGGTCAACCCACGGCACAACCTGGGCCTGCAGCTGTCTGTGGAGACTCTGGATGGTAAGTCCCCGGCCGCTGCCCCAGCTGGTGCCGGCGCCTCCCGCCGCCGTGGGCATAAGGAGGGTCTCAGAGGTGCACGTGCTCGTTTCCGTCAAGAGCAGGCTTCTCCTGCCCCCTCCCCAGTCAGTACTCAAGGTCTAGCCTTTGGATCCAAACGAATGTACCCCTTTAACGTAAGACGATTACACAGTTGGCCAGAGCTGGATCGGGTAAGGCCTCGTTGCTCCAAGTGTGACTCCCACACCAGCGTTGGTGGCCTCCCCCAGTCAGAAGCGCAGACGCTGGCCTGTTCCCAGGCCTGCCGCGCCAGAACCTGTGCTTTCACTGAGCCCCAGGTGACGCCTGGACATACTACATCTGACGCAGGCTCCTCAAACTTGACGTGGGACATTCTGGGGTGTCACGGGCATTGTCAGATATTCAACAGTATCCCCCAGTTGTGACACCCAGAATATCTCCAGATGTTGCCAAATGTCCCCTGCAGGGCAAAACTGCCCCAGTTGAGAACCACTGCACTGGTGCAAGGCGCTAAGCCCCTTCCAAGAGACTGAATGTGGTTCTGGGTCCCAGATACTTGGAAAATCCACTGCTCGCCTGCCCTCCCCCAGCACCTGTCACTCCCCGCCGCTCATCCATCTTTCCTGGGATGGGCAGAGGGAAGGTGAGTGGGGGACTAGGGTGGGCCTGGCGGTGCCAATTTCTCCTTCCCCGAAGTGTATTACTTACGGCGTGGTGATGGTTTTAGGGTGAGTAACTTCTTCCTTACACCAGTTAAAAAAAAATGTACAACAGGTAATACATGCCCAGGCGCAAAATTCACAAGTCACAGATGTTTCGGTGGTGAACAGTTTCCCCCGACTTCCTCCCCCAGCTGCTGACTTCCACCCCCAGGGGCAGCTGTTTCCACACACTGGATCTCTTTCTTCTCAGAGATGCCTTCTGTGATCTAAGCGATTACTCGCAGATTCTGCTTTTCTGTTTTTTTCCCCCTCCCACAAATACCGGCCTGGTACATACAGTGTTCTTCACCTTGCATTTTTTCATCTTGGAGGTTGGTCCTTTTTGGTCTTCAAAGATCTTCCTGATTCTGTAAAGGCTGGCATGTTTTTGTGTACGTGTGGAGTGAACGTGGCTGTGTCACTCACCCACTGTGCGACTTTAGACAACTTCCCTAATGTCCCAGAGCCTCGCTCTTCATCTGTGACACTCGGGTAATGAGAGAGCCTGGGCCACTGGGTTGTTCTGAGACTGAGTTAGTACGGGAAGAGTTTAACAGTTAGTGAGTGCCCTAAGGCTCAAAGGAATCCCCTGGGCCTCTTGTTAAAATGCAGCTTCTGGTTCAGCAGGTCTGGGGCAGAGGGGAGCTGCGGTCCCAGCGGCCCCCAGGTGATGCAGAGGCTGTGGGTCCCCGCACGGTGCTTTGAGTAGCGAGAGCTGAGAATGGCTCATGATACACGTGCCGTAACGAGAGTTGTTGCTGTTACCACCAAAGTGACTTATCCAGTCCCCGTGGGATGGACGTCTAGGTGTTTTCCGGTCTCCCCGCCGTATAACCGGGGCTGCAGCAGGAAACCCCAGTGCCCATGTCCTGGGAGACTTGGCTGAGTGTAGCTCTAGGAACAGTTCCTGAAAGCAACGTTGTTAGTCTGTGAGTTTAATCGATGTTGTCAGTTTACCCTCCTGCAAGGTCCGTCCATTCACACCCCCACCGGCGGTGCATGGGGACACCTGTGTCCCCTTCTGCATCAGGACAAGCCCTCAGACTTACCTGTCTGCTAACCCAGTAGATGCCACATGGGACCTTGTAGCTTTGCTTTCTTTGCTCTTCTCTCTTCTGGGCGAGGCTGAGCCCTCGCTCACCTGAGCCCTCGCCCACCTGAGCCGTTTACCGTTCCCTCCATGTGCCCCCCTCCATCGGTCTCCCCTGCCCATTGTCCAGAAAAGGTGTTGGTCTTTTTCCTTTATATTTTAGGGACATTTGGCCTTTTGTGATTTGAGCTGCAATATACTGTCCCAGTTTTAAGTTTTTCTTCTTACTGTCATTCATGCTGGGTTTTGCCGAGTGGATTTAACAATGTAGATACATTTTATGATTTTTTTCCCCAGCATTATCCGCCTACGGGCACGCGCTATGTGGGAGGGGGCCACAGAGTTGAAGACCACAGTTGTCTTGTTTCCAGTCTGGACTTCTTTCCACTCTCCTCCTCCACAACCTCCCCTGACCAACCTTCTTTTTTCCACAATCTTGACACTTTATAGTGGGTTCTAGAAGGTGCTGGCGTTTTCCATTGCTCTATACCAGGTTGTCTGGTGGACCAAATTCAGCCTCTAGCCTGTTTCTGTGTGCCTGTGAGCTAAGAATAGTTTTCACATTTTTAAATGGCTGAGATAATTTTTTTAAAAAGAAGAATATTTTGTGACACATAAATTTATATGAAATTCACATTTTGGTGTCCATAAATAAAGTTTTATTGGTACACAGTCCCCCTTATTGGTTTATGGATCACCTAGGCCTGCTTCTGTGCTGTAACAGCAGAGCTGAATACTTGTCACAGAGACACTGACCCACAAAACTGAAAATATTATTTTCAGAAATACTATTTACAGAGAAGGTTTGCAACCCCTGCTCTATATCAGAATTTCCCAAATCATATTCCGTGAAATGTCAATGGGTGTCCCAGGGAAAAGGGAGGGGTTCCTGATCAGCTAAGTGTGAGAAATGCTAAGTAGATAAACTAAGCAGGTTTTGCTGCAGGACTTATCAGGGCCTTTATTTTGCTGATGTCCATTGTGACTCCCCTGATAAGGTATACGGCGTAGAAGAATTCCAAACTTATTTGGCAATAAAATCATTCAACTCTTCTTTATCCTTAAAAGCACCTATGGGACTTTTTTTTTAATTGAAGTATACTCATTTACAGTGTATCAGTTTCTCGTGATCCCCTGTGGGACATATTGAGGATGAGGTGCAAATGAGGCTAAGGGAGACTTGATTGCTCTCTTCAGAGTAACTTGTTTCCCTGAACTTGTAGATACTGGCTTGACCTTCCAACTTGACCGCAATGGGTCCTGTGTTCTTCTGTACTACCTGCCTTCTGCCTCGGGGTGGCCCAGGTTTGTTTTTTCTCTTAAGTGACACTCAGCCCAGTGTTGGACCTGCCGTCTACCTTTCTCTCCTACAGTCAGGGTCGTTGGGCCTCTCTTGCCTCCAGCTTCTGATCCCCCTCGAGGCTGTGGCCAAGGCTCAGCATTTATGGAGGTAGCATAGCCTGATGGTGACACTGGGGCTCAGGAGCTGGCCAGACTCCCCAGGTTCAAATCCCAGCCCTGCTGTTTCTAGCCACATGACCCAGAATGAGTCACTTAATGTCCCTCATCTGGAAAATGGGGTTAATAATAGTTTCTTCCTCCCAGGGTGGTTGCGAAGGATTAGATGAGCTCATGAGAGTGAAGAGCTTAATTGCTTTGTGTGTGGCAGCTGCTAAGCGCAGAGTGCGTGCTCTCTGCCATTGTCTCCTGTATCCTCGCCACTACCAGTCACCAGGACAGGGGAGGAAACTTTGAGGCCTCTGGGCGGCGTTGAGGCTCCATATTCTTACAGGTGCTTGGGACCCCTCTCCATCCATGGGGAGCGTAGCTTAGTGGTCGCAAGATGCTACCTAGAGTCAGGGTAAAGATTAGATGTTGACTTGATGCCCCATCTCCTCCCCCCCGAAATGAGGCACCGGGGGCCAGGCACGGATGCTGCCACCCTGGGACCCGTTTGTCCAGACGCTGTGCACGCTGAGACAGCAAGTTTGGTCTGGTTGCCCTGGTCAGGGAAGGACCACCCACACAGACCATCAGGGAAGGGCAAAGTATACAATGATCAATGGGGGGTGTGAAGTTTTGGATCTTTTAGGGGATGAGATAAGAAGCAAGTAAGCCCAACGTTTCTGAGACCACAGGCTCCTGGCTGGGAAATTGCTTCCCTTCATGGTGTTTCTTCAGCATGGTGTCCGTCAGAATGCCCTGGCAGGCACATTGAGCGGATTCCCTGGCTCCACCCCCAGACCCACTGATGGCGAGTCCCTGAGGATGGGTTCAAGAATCTGCCTTTTCTCACAACCTCCTTGGTAACTCAGGGGTCTGGCCCAGTGATAGCACGCTGGCAAGAGTCATGCCCTGAGTTTTGGGGGACTCTGTTTATAAGATGGTGCCCCAGCTGCCCAGCTCCATTCAGGTCTAAAATCTGGGGTCTAAACCTTTTCACGTTGGATGCCTACACAGGTGAAAAGCCAGCAGGGCCTGCTGGCAAGCCCGTGGATTCTGGGGTCTATTAGCCCATGGAATCTGGGGGAGCCCATGATTCTGGTGCGCATATACTGTGTGGCAGCCCTGTGTTGCCTGTAGAGACAGCCTGGTCCCTGCCCTGGGACCACCCACTAGCATTCACATAAGCTCAGTGAGTGTCCCTGCCTCTTGACAGCACCTGGAGAGGCCGAGTACCGGGTGTGGCACCCATGCCCAGCTCCCGGTGCCCCATCTGGGAGGGGAGGAGACGGGGCACTGAGCCAGGGGTGCAGCATCTTGCAGCCACTGGACTACTGCTGGACTTGCAGCCAGGTCACCTCTCAGGCCTCAGTTTCCCCACCCGTGCGACGGGCGTGTTAATGATGGTGGTATGGGTGAGCTTGCTTCCATCCTAGTGAGCACAGCCGTCACAGACCTTCTTTCCTGATGTTTGGCGTGGGGTGCAGTGAGCTCCAGCTCACCGGGTCTCCAAATGCCGCCTGAGACCACCCAGGAAGCCTGCATCTGCTCTGACTTCCTCCAGCTGCGGCCCTCTTGTGAGTCAACCCTCGGAGCGGTCCGGCTGGGGCCTCTGCCAGCCTGCGAGCCTGTGCGGGGAGCAGCCCATGAACTCCCCAGGCACCCATGGCTCGTCTCATCTCTGAGGACCGGATGCTGCAAGAGGGAGGGCCGGGGTCCCCCTGTCGTTCCTTGTACGGGAGACAAGG